TGTTTCCTTTAAAGAACAGTTAAGGATCTGAAAGAAGTAATTACAGAAAGACAGACCACACAGAGTCTTGACTATATTTCTGATTCTTCTGGCAGCTACGTTTTATTTACGAAAGGCTACTAAAGGATCAGGGAGTCTTGGTTAGCATCTGAATCATGAAATTAAATGTAACGTGACTAAAGATTACCTTTTTTTTTTTTTTTTCCCCCTTAAAAGATTCACCCCCATTGGAGCAAATGGTAGGATTTGTCTTAACTTAAAATTCCACCAACTTTTGGATAGAAATATTCTTAGCTAAATGAGTAGCAGCATATCTTTCTGTGTGATTAGTTTACATACTTAGGCCCACCTAGTTTATATTTCTTCCCAAGCAGAAATAAGCCATATCAGAACAAGAAATTATATTCGGTGATGCAACTACTCTAAAAGCCTTCATCACTTCTACAAGGAAAGCAACACTACCCTTTTAGCATAAGCATGTTCTGAGTAAGATACAATACACAAAAAGGTGTGGGAATAAGAAGTTTACCTCAAGAAATAAAAAACTGGGCCCCTACTTTCTATGTGTGTATTCACGCCACATTTGAAACCACCCATCCACGTAAGCGGTTGCATGTTTGACACACATTCTGCAACAGCCTTCTTGAGAATCACAGCGACTTAAAGGTTTTACTTCTCCCATAGACATAAAAAGCCAAAGAGTGAGGAAATCAAAGTGAAGAAAGGTTACTTGGCAATTCTGTAAATCCTTTTTACATCTGCCACCTTACTTTGCAGATACTCTTAAGTTACAGTGCAAGTAACTGGGTAATCAGCATACCTCATGAAGCCCCTGGAACACCTTCAGCACCCTATACGAGCAATTGTAATGCAATTTGTGTAATATCCATCTCTTCGTTTTAAATTGTTCATTACATTTCAGATTTGTTTTGCACTTTCTACTCATCAAGGATTGGGAGTAAGCTGTCCAATTTATGATCAATTCTGGCTGGTGCATAAACAGTTTAATAGACTCAAGCAGATGTAAGTATTAAAAGAAGATTCACTGACAAAGTATTTCATTACTGTCATTACAACTACAGAGTGTTGTCTCATGCCATTAAAGAGGTAGAATGTGTATGGGTGTAGAAAGAAAATGTCAAGAAACAAAGTTGAACAAGGCTATGTATGAGATCACATCTGTGTCCTATCTGAAGACAGACACTACTTCTTTTGAATTATTCCTAAAGATTTGGGATAAGCCTGCCTTAAGCCACATGTCCCAGAACCTGCTTTCCCTCAAAATGTTTGTGCAGATGAGCTGATTAAAGAGCAGCTTTCTGCATTGGAATATTCTAATAGTAGAAGTCACACATGATCTTGCTGCCAACAGCAGAGATGCTAGCAGCACCACATCAAGAATGCCTTTGCCTTAAACTATTATTCAAGGAACTTGATGTTACTATCTTAATTGATTTTCCATCTTTACTATAGTTAGCAATATGTCCCTAAGATGGAGAGAAACAACATCCTTGGTAATTATCCATACTGCTGTGCAATGAACATTACCCAACTTTAGGCAAAGCCTTTTTCAGCTGCGCAAAGACAGCCCTTTTAAGGGAGGTCTGACGTGATTTAAGAAGCCTTTTAACAGATACATAGTAGGAACACACTTCCATTCTCAGAATTCTGCAGGTTCAGTTTGGACTTAGGCAATCGTGTAGATCAGGTTCACTGGCAAAGGCAAACCTCTTTCAACTGCGTATGCTGAGTCACAAGAGACTAAGAAACTTTTTTTAATATGCTTGTATGCTCTCAAGCATTTGACCACGATGTGAGATTTTGAGTAACGTTGCTACACACACTAAAGAAGCAACAAAAGACACCAGCCTTTAATAGTGCTTCAATCTAATTTCTTCAAAAAGTAGTGAGCACCTTTCTAGTAATCAACAGGTTTCAAGCAATGACTTTTAGTTCAAAGTCCTAAGTATTTTAAGAGTTAACAGCTCCCTTTATTCCTCCCTCACTCTCTTAAAGATACAATGGAAATGCAAGACTAATCCAACCACAAATTCACATCGCTAGTCTATCCCCACATTCTTCAGGTAAATCTTGGCTCTGGGTAATTCTATAAATTTTTGGAACAAAATGTTTCTCTACATTAGCTGTCATCACTCCATTATAAGTTAGCAATCACTGCTACAGAACATTCCTACAAATCTTCCAAAGTACTATTAACTTGGTAGTGAATAAGCCAGGCATACCTTAAAACAGTAAGAACTCAACAAGTTAATGAATAACAGCAGCAGGTAGCAGAGGAATAACATGATCAGTGACAAAGTTAAATCAAGTACCCTGAAAAGATGAAAGAAAGAGCCCCCAAGACTTAAACTTAATCTAGTTTTACAATGATGACTTACAAATACATTTTTCCAACTACAAGCAGCCTGAAGGTTTTTTGCCAGTGTCAGTAAGCTCAATCCACAGGTCAAGTACTAGTTCACTCAAGCCCATACTGACATACATGTTTGGTACAACTTGCCTCAAAGGAGTTCTGTGAGCTAAACTATGTTTATAAACAGAATTCAGAGACCAGATACGTTGGTATATCGGTAAAGCTACATGGTAGAAGTAGAAATTTATATGAGAGGAAAAACACTAATATGAAGGAAAATACCTATGAAGTACGAAATTCAAGAGATTAGAACATGAAGAAGCACAAAAACCTACAGGGACAGTCAGAACATCTGCTGGGAATCTTAGGGGGCAGGGAAAGCTCAGTGTATCAGCATCAGAGATGAAGGAACTTGACACAGCAAAGAAAAATATTTTTTACCCATATGGTATTCTTATCTTTAAGAATGTAGAAGTATTTTTATACCAATAGGCCAATGGGAAAATACAAGCCAGCTGAGGGAATATGCAGGAAGGGATAGGGAAACAAGCAATAAAATGGAATAACCAGGCCATGGCAGAGCCAGCGACACAGACTAACAAAAGTTCTCATTCTGCAGCCAGATGCAGCATCTAATCCACTGAAGGAGCCCAGGATTACCTAAATCTATGTCACACACACCAGATACAGTATTTACCTTTGGGTCCCTCCTCCAAAGATGGATGATAAACCAGACAAAAGACTAACACCGGTTGTGAAACCTGCCTTTGCAGTCTTGCTCTTGCACATCCCAGTGACACACAAAGTAATTTGGCACCAATAGCAGAACACAGAAAGCAATCAACCACCCAGGCAGGAAGTATAAATCCAAATCTATTCACAAACTGAAAGGCAACAAGCTTCAAATCTACATCTCTTACAAACTCCTGCGTCTGCATGATCTGAAGCAAAGAAAACCTATCAGTCAGGATGATCATCGCTGGTAAAGTTCAAGAATTAAAGATAACACGAGAAGAAAAAAACCCAGACCTGCAAACCTGCGACCTTTCTTTCTTTAGTTATTTTGAGATAGCTCTGGGATTTATGAAGATCTTTGTTTATTTCTCCCATGAGAAATGCAAGTTAATCCGTTAAAATGAAAACAAACAAAGGCATTACAGAACAACTGACCCATACTACTAAATACTCTGGGAATACCAAGCACTTGTCATGGTTGCAGTTCCTTCCAGAAGGAACATTGACTAGCACTGAAGAAAAAAATATTGCTTCTTTAATCCCTAGTCTTCATCAAGCATATAATTTTTTCTAGCCAGTCAGCCAGGAGAACAAGCTCTAAGCAATGTCTGATTTTAAAGGATTAATCAGCTAAATCAGTAAAAAAAAAAAAAGGGAGAAACAGTACAAGGAAACATAAACATACAAAGTTTTTGCTGTTCATCATCACAGTTTTGCAATCAAGTACAGAGTTTCCAAATGACAGGACTGGGCATCTGAATTTTCTTTGGTCATCTCATAACGCTTCTTAACAGTCAGTCCCCTGCCTAACAGAAGAAGACATCTTCAGTGTCTCAGCTCATGACTGGAAGTTCTCGATTACTACAGAATAGTGGTTTGTGGAGGTGGGAGGACACCAAAGTTCCCCCTCTCCCCTCCTGCAGCAGGTAAATTTCCACAGGGGCAAAAACCCAGCATTTGTCAGCCTCGCTGAATTCACTACCATTAAGTTTTTGAAGAGTTAACATGGGAGTAAACCAAACTTTCTGTAGATTCAAACTATATGCTTAGGCCTGACTGTGAAGGTGCACATATCCTCATCTCCCCACCCCATAGGAACAGGCACAAAGATGAAGCAAAGTTGGAAGTAAAGATGACAGACCTGGTTGCAGAGCACATCACTTGGTCACGCAGTCTCTGAATGACATTATAGTACTTTACTGTTACTTTGGAGTCTGCCTGTATCAGGAAACTTGAGAGCTCCAGTTTTGTATCGCACAGAATACAAACCTGACTACCCCAGACGTAAAGCCTTGTCCACATACGTAATGCAGAGACACTGTTTCTACAATCTAAGAGTTAAAACAAGGCAAATCAAAGTACCGTAAGCAGTCATAGCCTTTCAGCTGAGGAGAGCTTCTGCACACAGAGGTATCGGCGACCACCTGTAGCATTTCAAACATTTCCACCACAAACAACCTAGAAATCGCTTGCCTAGGTCATTAACGCCAGGTTGCGAAGGATTCCCAGCAGTCTCTGACAGAAGTCACTGTCAGACAGTTCAGCTCATGGAATCCTCAGTTTAATTTCACTTCGGCCGGCCCTTCACCTGATAAATTTGCTCGCCGAGTGACACAAGGTGTAACTCCTCGGGCACCGCGGCACTGATTTACCCCAAATTCACTCCGCAGAAGCTCACTCTGCTTTTGGACAGAGGTCACCTCTGCCCCAGGAGCGCAGCAAAACCGCCGGCAGGCTAAACCCAGCGACACCGACCTTCGCACAAAAGGCAGAGCTCGCCGCAGGCGCATCCACACAAGCACCTGAGAGGGCGGCTGCCCAAAGCATCCCCCTCCCGGCACTGCCTCCCCTCCGGCGGGAAAGGGGAGGGAGGGCGTGCGGGGCCTCTCACCTGGAGGAGCACGGCCAGCAGGACGCACAGATACACCTGGTAGGGCCCCATCTGCCCCACCAGCGGGAACGCCTCCTCCACCTCCATCCCGCTCCCCGACCCGCCGCGCAGATCCTACCGGCGGCCACCGAGCAGCGCATCCCCCG